TTAATTACCAATTCAATATTAATGTAGTTTTGGCAATTTTGAATGAAGTTTGCACGTGTGTTTGTATGTTTGACTTAGCGCCCGGCTGTTAGCTGGTGTGTGTGCATATATTAATTCGTATATATGTAAGCAAATGTGTGCGCAACTTTATGTACGAATATTTCCGTTGTGGTATTTTTGTCACACTGCAATGTGTATATGTGTGGTTGTGATTCCACAGCTTCAATGCATAGCTGATTAAATGCCAAGAAATATTTCATTGAAATTTCACGCGCTGAAAAAAAAGTGAAAAAGTGTTTCTTAATGTCATCTGGAAACACCCTAAATGCAAATTTAAACTCGTTGAATCGTGTTGTTAAAAAAAAAAATCTGGCAATTTACATAAGTAATTGCTTATAAGTGTTGGCGTTTGTGATGGTTACTGCTCTCGAGGGTGTGGATGCTCTTGTGCAGCTGTAAACAAAATTTTAATGCGTTTTCTTTTGTTTTTTGTTGTATTTTCTAACACATAATATGGAGATCAGCTGATTTTAGCAGGTGTTACAAACGCAGGTGTGGCACAATAAACCTTGGATTGCGTGTAGGAAAGTGATCTGTCATTAAAACGGTAGCGCAGCAACAAAATTTAACTTGAAATGTATGAAAAAAATTACAGTGAATGACCTCGTTTGAAAATTACTATATTACGTTTCTTATAAAATAAAAATATAAAGCGTCTTTCGAGTCTTAATTGAAAATTGGTTTGAATAATGTGTCGCTAAAATTATATCTCGAACACTAATTCGAGATCTACTAAGTGCAACTCTTTGTCAGTCTGAAAGAAGCCCAGAAGCTGTCTACATTTCACTTTGATAAGTTTTGTCGCAGCTTTCAAATAAGCTAACACTTATGCAATAAATTATACTTGATATTGATTACATTTCAACCTAAAAGTAGGCAACATGAAACGGCATTAAACCAATAACAAATAAACGCTGCCTACAATTAGGCGAATCAATAAATAATCCATATTTACATTTACCGAAGTACTGAACCTAAATGAGTAACGAAAAACGAATCCAATTAGATAATACTTCTAAAAATTTTTAATATTAAAATAGCTAGGAAAATATTTAGAACCCACAAATAGCATTGCATATAAAATATCGTATTAATGGTTCGAAAAATTCCTAAACTTCGTATAGGGTATTTTTGTCAAACCGCTATTCAATTTTATCTTTTTTTTTTCATGTCTTAAATTTTTTTTACCAGTATCAAGGTTTCCCCAAACACCGCTACAGCAAACATTGCCAATATTATTTTCTGTTAATATATTTGAAAAACATTTCTAAAGTGACTCACTTAGAGACTAATAGCCACAATTAATAAACACAAAATATTAGCTTTCTTAGAAAAAATAAACAAACAAACATACATATATATACCGCAACTTCAAAATAAAGTTAGATTTTTTGATGGGATGTCAGTCTTGTAGGTAAGCAAATATACTTGAAGTATATTTTTAGATTCCGTTACTTTTAGATTAGATGCTGAAAAATGTAAACATAAAATATTTTAAATACTTTAAATAAATTTGTTATATAAATTCGTCATTTTCTTTAAATTAATTTTAATGTCAATGTCAAAACGCATTCGGGTCTGTCACTTTTGACAAGTATGACATATACAATGCGAATAACTTCACTAAGATACCAGAAAGCTAAACAAGGATATTCAATTTATGTCTGTTATAAAATCAAGTATGTTCTTGACGTCATTAAAAGCGCATAATGTAATAAGTAAGCGTCTTTTTGGCAATTAGGAGGCTTATCAAGATTTCGTAATTACTATTAAGAAGCTTTTCAGTGAAGATTCACGCTATATGATCTTATTTCATACTGAAGAAATTAAGCGACTCAATATCTAAACTAACTACTTTGACTTTGTCACTAAACGAGCATTATTCGATAAGCGTAGTCATACTCAAGTACCTATGGCCTCGAAATAAAATTTCTGGAATCAAAACACAACTTTGTGGAAAAAAGCAACAAGTGGCGAAGTGACGATCAAATGTCTTTTTTAATCTAAATAATAACGTCATGAGATGACAGAAAATGCCGCAATGCACACGTTTCCAGCATCTGCAGCCCTTTTAATAACACTTACTCAAATATTTAAAATATTAAAAATAAGAATTAAATTAAAATAAAGTCACTAAAATGTAATAGCGCATATCAAAATCATAAAACTCTTTTTTGACATTATCATAGCAGACGTGCGATATTTATCAGTTGACGTTCAACTCCGCTCTCTAGCTGTAAGCGTACTGTCACGTAAAGGACATGATGTGCTGTCATAACAAAAATAAAAACCGCTCTAAAATAAGAATAAGTCAGAGCAGTCGTGTATGGGTAAATAGTAGTAGTGCCTTTGGGAATTTCAAAATATTTCGCGTCGAGAGAAAAATATTTCCGTGACGAAATGGAAGTGAGGTGAATAAATTTCTACGACGACATAATAATTATCTGAGAAAAAATGTATGTTTTATTAAATGACTGACATAAATTCGTAAGTGAATTTGTTTGGTAATCTTGGCAGTGGTAGATTTTTATTACTCACTCGTGCTAAGTTTCCTCACATACAATTTAGTTACCGTGTAAATAATTATAAAAGATACAGGAAAAAACGTAAGCTTCGGCTATAAGCTAAAATAGACTTGACAGGTGGATTTTTATATCATAAAAAGGTAAAAAAAGATATTTATCTTAATTATGATAAATCAATTTGTATAACAGCTATATGCTATAGTGGTCCAATCTAAACAATTTGTTAGGAGACTTTAACGTTGTCCGGGACAAAACAGTATACCAAATTTTATGAAGATAATTTGTCAAATAAAAAAGTTTTCCCTACAAGGGCTTAATTTTGATCGATCAGTTTGTATGACAGCTATATGCTTTAGTGGTCCAATATCAGCGGTTTCAACAAATTAACAGCTTCTTGAAGAGAAAAGGACGTGTGCAAAAACTGTTAGAGAAATTCGCGTACATACAGAGGAATGGACAGATATACGAACAAATATGTAGATGTACATGGCCAAATCAACTCAAGTGGTCGAGCTGATAATTTATATATGCATGTATGCATATACTTAAGAGGGTCTGCAACGTTTCCTTCGGGGTGTTATAAACATGGTGTCAAACTTAAGTTACCCTGTTCAGGGCATAAAAATATGTTTTTTTCTTAAATATTATTAAGGTGTTTAAGCTAACTTGATTCTATGCTGCATTATGATACAGTGTAACTCAACATTAGCGCTATAATTTTTGTAGTAAAAGATAACTCATACGCATACTGGCTACATTACCACTAGTCCAGCACTAGTTTTGATATATATATTAATATGTTAAATACCGAAATATCTTTGAATGAAGAACAGCATTTGAGGTTTAATGAATTTATTTGCTAGCTCTATATAAAGCTGATTTCGCCTCGAAGTGATCAGATTATAAGCCCAGAAGTTAACTAGTACTTTGTGTTTTGGACATAATCATAACTAAATGCTAAACTTCTCACGTTCTTACCCTTCAACAGTTCATACAAACATATTTTTTTAGCATGTTTGCACATATATATATACCGAGCTGACTGTTTAACCTGCTCGCTGCGTGCCATTAAGACAGGCTGTCCATCTTAGCCGATCACTTTAGGTGTTTACACATATACATACACACATACATTGGGGTATATATGTAGATGAGTGTATGTGAGTTAACATTTAAAATACTTATCTAAGGCAAATATACAAGTATTTATCGCTGAAAGAAGCTGCTTACTAATCACCCGTAAGTAAGAAGGCATGAGTGATGGCTGCAACAAGAGACAGAATACACATGTATACATATAAGTATGCACATATGTATATACTTATGAGTTGTACAAGTGCACATACATACGAACATGTTATATAAATATATGTCTTAAGTGCGCTCGTAAGTGTCATTTACCAGAGTAAGCGGCGCTGGAGTGAGTGTGTGCGCCTACACACATACACATAGGCATACATACGTGCCGACATAGACTTACATATGTATGCATAGGTTTATAGACATTTTGTTTAAATATACCTATATTGATATATATGTGTGCTAGATGAAAGTCAAAACTTTCCTTTAAACGCCGGACAACGCTTGACTGTCTAGTCAGTTGCATTTTGTGCACTCAGCTAACGCGGCGATATTTCGGCCATACAAATTAAATCCACTCGATCGAACCAGATAAATTATACAAGTGTATTTTGTGGAAGTGCATACTTCACTAAAGTTAAAATGCTGTTCAAAAGTAAGCATATGCTGCAGATAGAAAAAATTCCATAGATACATACGAGTATTTTACAGTGAGAGTATTCAAAAATAATTTTCTAAAAAATGCTTTAAAAAACAAAGCAAAAGAACAACATTAAGTTCAATTGCACTGAAGCTATAATATAGTTTCCATACAACAACTTGATTTTGATTGTTCAATTTGTATAGCAGCTGTATGTAATAGTGGTCCGATCTAAACAATTTCTTTGTTTCCGTCTGCGTGTTACAAACAGCGTGGCTACCGTAATATACCCTATTCTGTATATACAAATTAGCTAAAGTGACTTTTAATTTTAATTTAAGTGAGCAAGTCAAGTGATCTTATAAGCAAAGCGTTTATTACAAATACAGCAATAATACCAGCTAATCAGCTTGTAGTCCACACTTTCGCTTATCACCAACCCTTCAGTATTGTTATAAGTTTTTAAGGTTCAAGCACCGTAGACTTGGGCCTGACACATGCTGAGTTCGTGGCCACACATTCAATGATTTCCTCACTTTATACAATATATAAATATATTAAATATTATTATGAACTTATGCGTTTTACTGATAAGTCAGTCCTTACATACAGTTATTTACAATTGGTATACAATACTTGTATTTTTTGTACAGAAAACTAATTCTTCATCTCGTTCTTCTTCTTTCTATTTACAGCACCGATTATCGGTACGAGACATATACAATGTTTCCTATGTTTTTGTTGCCTATCGATTTGTTATGCGTTACGCGTCAATCTCAGCGTGGGCATTGTGGCGATGACGGATCGGAATTCCACGAACAGCGATCTGACGGTGAGTGTGGAATGCAATTAATTGTAAAAGTAAGGGTGGGTAAACGAGATTAATGCCTGATTGTTGTCCTCAGTGGCCTGTTTCAAGGTATTTGGAATTTATGCGATCATTTTTCTGGGAAAATCAATAGTTAGACAATATTTGTGACTTTGTTTTTAGTTAGTGAAGGATCTGGAACGATCTCAAATCCTAATCCTTTAGGAAATTTATATTTTTTCAAGAACACTTTAACAAATTTTTTTTACTCCTTTTAAGTAACATAACGCTAGTATGAAACACTTCGTATATTTAGTTCCGATATTCGCGATACCTATATAATCCAGCGTTTACCAAACCTTTCTCATTCGCACCATTAAAAAGCAAAGAGAGTTACAAGTAAAATGTTCTCTCCTTCCAGGTATACGATTGGAGTGAGGGCACCAAGTCCTATGTATTAAGCAGCTTCTTCTGGGGTTATATCACCACGCAAATACCCGGTGGACACATAGCACAGAAATATGGCGCAAAAACATTACTGCTAATTGGCATTACGCTCTGCTCCGTGTTGACACTACTCACGCCGTTAGCTGTTGAGTTTGGCGGTTGGCAGCTATTGTTTGCGGTACGTGTCATTCAAGGACTGTTGCAAGGTTCCGTACATCCAGCCACGCATGCCATGTTGGCGAAATGGTCACCCGTCGAAGAACGTGGCGCGCTGAGTACTTTCTGTTATTCCGGCTCACAATTCGGCACTGTTATTATATTGGCTATAAGTGGCGTCATTGCTGAATCACCACTCGGTTGGCCTGGTATTTTCTACATCTCTGGCGCTTTGGGTATAGTTTGGGGTGTCTGTTGGTTCATATTTACGGCCAGCACACCAGCTCAACATAAAACCATCTCACCGGAGGAACGTAAATTTATCGAAAATTCATTGGGACAAGTTGATTCGACGCCACGCACAGTAGCGCCGACACCATGGGGCAAGATCTTCACCTCACCGCCATTTTTATCACTGATCATTGTACACTGCACGCATATGTGGGGTTTCTGGACACTGCTTACACAAATTCCCAACTACATGAAAAATATTCTCGGTGTGGACATGAAAAATAGCGCTCTACTATCGTCTCTACCTTATGCTGTCATGTGTTTGCTCAGTTTCTTCTTTATCTACCTGTCAAAGGTGTTGGCACGTCGTGAGAATGTATCGCTGTCATTTAGTCGCAAATTCTTCAACTCCATCGGTCATTGGATACCAATGATCTCACTTATCGCGCTCGGCTATGTCACAAAGGAGCATTCATTACTGGCCGTCATCTTGCTCACACTCACAGTGGGTATTAGTGGCGCCACATATCTAGGCTTTCAGGTCAACCATATTGATCTGTCGCCAAACTATGCGGGTACGCTGATGGGCATTACCAATGGTTCAGCGAATGTGATGAGCGCTTTAGCGCCGCTGGCCGTCGGTCTAGTCGTCACCGATGTGGTAAGTTGGACTTATTAATTGTACCACATTGCCGTGTTATTAATTAAAATTATTTTTTATTCCATTTATGCAGACAAATGTGGTTGAGTGGCGTATTGTGTTTTTCATCGCTGCCGGCTTTTACTTTGTCGGCAACTTGCTCTTTGTCATATTTGGCAAAACCGAAGTGCAAAGTTGGAATTCACCCGAAGATGCATTAGCCAAACGCTTGAACGTGGTGGACGCTGAATCGCCAGCGTTACTCTTAAATGGTGATAAGAAAAAGATAACAATCACAGAGAACGGCACGCAATAGACCAACGAAGCCGTATGGACTAATTGCTCCTTTATTTGTAGTTGTAGTTTATTAAGCACACAGAAGACCTCCTAGTTGTTAGTATGCATATACTTATGTATGATATATATATATATATATAGATATGTGTATGTGTATATTAGGGTTTATGTTATGTTAAGACTCTTATGAATGATTCCTGTAGTGCGGATAACGCTGCATATTGTTGTTATTGTTTGCAATTGTTTGCGTTGCACATGCGTCCTGCGATAATGTAATTTATATCAGTAGTTTTTTAAGTCATACATCTATGTATCATAGACAATAAGTATTTTATATAAAAGAAGGTGTGTGTAAGTAAGTAAGAGCCCAGACAACACAATGCTCTTACTAATCTGTACATATGTAGTTAACTCAGTCACGAATATTAAAGAGTGCTTAACTTGCGTTATTTCGTGTTAATTGTGTATAATATAAACATAATTGTAATATGTGTAGTCACAAATGTGCTTCCATTGCCAGCGCAAAAAAACGGGTAAACAAGTCATATCAAACATACAACTTCTATCGATATTATATTTTTAATGAAAAAATTAGTGAAATAGAAGAAAGAAAAAAAAAACATTTTATAAATTAGCTTAAATTAAATAATGAATTACAAATTTTTAATAAAATTTTGTTTACAGTATTTGTCCAAACGTTTGTAATTTGTACAATTGGCGATAAGCAGTGCTGGGCGTAATGTGCGAGCGAATGTGTCAAGTGCCGTTAATAGTGATAGCAAAAATGTACAATATAGATTTGCCTTTTCTCTGGCTAAATGAAAAATAAAGCCGTATTACAACACCTTAGTGCGATAAATATACAGTTATTCTATTTTTAGATTAAATTCAATTATTGATTGATTTACTTATTTGCAAAGTGGAAGTGCGTTACAACACCGAAGTGACGTCTGTATTGTCTCTGCGTTGTGTAATCATAAAATATGTCATATCAATGCACTTAAATTACTTGGTTGTATATATATATATGTATGTATATATATAAATATTCGATCATCGCTACGTTTATCTAATCAAATCGCTGAAGATAATCACTGTTGGCAGTTCGATTCGCTCACACATATGCTACATATTTTTTCACAGTTATGTGGATTACAGTTATTGAATGGTGTATATTGTTATTGAACAAGAATATCTACTTCAGCATTTCTTGAGCACTTTGTTTTGAGCAAGTTGTTATATTTTATTTTTTTTTTCATTTTAATTTTTTAATCGGCAAATGTATTTTAGTTGAGTTTTATAAATTTCGTCCTAGTTTAAGCACACACTTATCTTTAGGTTGTTATATTAAATGATGTTAGTTGTGTAGTTGTTATTTTTTTAGTATGCAGTAATATAATTTTTACGAATTGAGACATAAGTAAATCATTATATATATTTAATTATAAAAAGTGAAAGAATTTGTAAACTATTATATATATACAAGAAAAAATAATTATAATACTAGTAAATCTGGAATTGAACTCCAAAAATAAACTCAAAATCAAAACAATTGGTTAAACAAAGCGTTGTCTCATTACTTAAGCGCTCTTCGAATAAAACTCAGAACACCTATTATGATTTCAATTGTATGTTGTTGCCGGGGTTGCTGGTGGTTTGTCAAAGTAGTATGAGCAATGCAGTTAACTAGGATCTAGTTAGTATAATTAGATAGTATAAAACATCACTGTATATATTCTAACAAAGTCGGGCTGGTTAAACCATTTATAAATTAAGAACGATTGGACTGATTTTGATTATCGTTGATTAGTTACGGTGTTATATCCACTTATGTATTAAAAAAAAATTTTATTATATACATTTTTCCGAATTCTTTTATATATATATATATATTCATATTTTCCCCGAAAATTTTAAGTGCATCTGGCACATAGTTTCGGGTATATGAGCATAAGAATATTTTATCTTAGTGTCATTGGTACCCAAAACTTTAAACTCGTTTTTCTTGAAATTGCTGTTTTCAGAGTCGGTGAGGAAAATTTTTCCGGTATAACTGGACCGATCAACTTGAAAATTTCACGCGTTATTTATCTGGTAGTGATCGAAGAAATAAGATTTTTGATAATAATTTCGATTTTTTAGTTACTTTTAAGTGCAATTATTTTCACAAAAACTACTTTTATTCGAGAAGCTGCCATTTTGTCATAAAATCAAATTTTGACTAGTCCTTCGATCATTGCCAATATCAATAATTTGTTTTTTTTTTTTTTGGTTTTTGTATTTCAAATTATTTTAACCAGGAATAACTTCCTCTTCGCCTCTTGAAGATCGGCTGCGGGAGCAAAAATGCGTTTACGAAGAGGTCTGCTAATATATTTGTATATCTTATTCTATTGAACTATTAAACTGACACTCATGACGTGACACCCCTGACGAAGTTTCGTTTAAATAATCAACGTGACAAGCTAAGTCGAATTAGCCCTGTCTGTCTGTATGGATCACTATAGAATATAGCTGCCACACAAACTGACCGATAAAAATCAAGGTTTTGTATGGAACACTCTTTCGTTTAAAGTTAACTTGTTTTCTTGTTTTGCATATACCACATTTTATTGCAATCAGCTTAGCTGAAGATGTTACCCCATTCATTGGCAGTTAGTGTGTACAAAGCCTTAGATAATTTGAAATCAGAAAGAAGCTGAGAGAAAGGTTTTAATACATCTAATGGACGCTTGTCGTATAAACCTTAGAAAAGAGTTAAATTCAAAAATGTAAATATTTTTTGATTGCTTACGTTTTATAAAACATATATCTGCTAACTAAATTTTACTTATTTGAATTATATTTGTCATCAGTTGGCCTCACACAATAAGCTACAACTACTGAACTGTACTTTCACAATCACTGACTGTTCAAATATTTTAACGTTGAAATTGTTCGGCTGCAAACAAACGTGTACTTTGATTGTCAAACTATGAGTAATAAAAATTATCTTTTATATATTTTTAATTTATATAATATCCACATATTTATCAACTTTACTACAGCTAACGTAATTTTTACTTCAAAAAATAACGTCTTCCTCCCTTACGCATGACAGTTTTGAAACTAATGTATTAATTAGCTAGAAGTTATTTAATTTACTTGAAATGTTGTATGTTAAAAAGACTCACTTTGTAAGCCACGCGCACACGGCAAATTGCTTGTAGAATTCCATTTGCAGTTTATTACAAGGCCGCTTTGAAGCATAATTCGCTATGTCAACTAGCAGCGAAAAACACATTTTGAAAATAGCGCATAGCGGATGAAAAAGGATGCAGGAGCACACAAAGCTTACAACGCTTGTGGCGACCATTTTGCCTGCCAAACTTTTCACTTACACTTTTTTTTAATTTTATGTGCTTATTTAACACTCATCACATAACAAAACTACTTTCTTGACTAGGCTACGTAAGCTTTTCTCACTATTTGGGCCATTCGCCTCTTTTTTGCTACTAAAACAACAACAGAATTTGTATGCGAATATCACTCCACACACACTATTCACTACTTCTTTGCTTTTATACGCATTTCACAAAAGCGTTTAGCTTTTCTATGCTCTTGAAGATACACTTGCTTCATTATACAAATATTGAATTTCACTAAAATAACACTTTTACTATAACACACATTCATTAAGAATCGGAAATAAATTGAAATTAAACACAAACCGGCAAAATTTTTCACAATCACCCGCACACGACAATATCCGAATTGACACTTACTAGTTTCCGCCATTCGATGGTGCTGCCACAGTGTTCAATTACTATGGCACACAACTGTTGCTCGTAACAGTAGAAGTCATGACAAATAGATCACTCGTTATTTGAGCGCCAGTTCCAATTAAGTTATCAGCGTAAGTTTTCCTAAAATCAAAAAAAACTGTTTGGAGATTTGTTAATAAATTTTTAATCACAAAAGTGCATATATAGAATATTTATAAATTTTGAAGGAACGTTATTGTGTACAGTTGATAGTTATTTTTTGTATTAGTCTTTTTTGTATTTTCAAATGGATGAATATTTGCTTTTACGGGCTTACTAAAAATATATACTTATGTGAAATTTATCTACTAAAAATATTGATTCAGAAAAGTAAAAGCAATACTATTGTGAAGGCACATGTTGGTCTCTACGGGCAGGGGTTCTCAAATGTCTGTTCGTTGAAAGAGTAGAAAATGATGTCGTAATATTAAATATTTAAATATTAATATTAACTCGTTAATCGTTTATAAAACCAAAATGTAAAATTATATTTGGTAATTTCCGTACGAGCGTTTGCTATTTAAATTAATTGTTCAGATAAAAAATGCGTGAAAGTGGCTAAACACACTGCAAATCAAAATGGCAGACTTATTGCACATACGTTTGTTATACATTGTTTAATTTTTCAGCAATTTAGTTCTTAGTTTTAATCATACATCAAACTAGAATTTTTAATCAGCTTTAAAAGCATGTTTCTCAAAACTAAATTTTTGAAATTTGCTTGAATGATTACTCAGAGACAAATGATCAGCTATCAAACATTTTTTTTAGATGTTCACCAGTTTTATAAAAACGCGGTCATATCGTAAATTTTGAATGTTTTTACCGTCTTTATATAGCTGATATTTTCCGGTATTCTGAATTTTTTTGACGTTTCATTCAAAGAGAGCCGAAATCACTGCAACAGCAGAGTACCTTTCTTTAGCGTCGTCGGAGATAACGTGTTATTAAAAAAAAATTCTTTATTTTTCAAAAACTTTACCGTGTATACTTCGTATGTGTATAAATATACCCTTTATTTTAAAGCAATTGATATAGTAGTTTAATTTTCTTTAAAATCCCATTAATCGTGTTTTTGGGCTATCACCCTAGGAGTCCCTCTTGATTCTACTAATGATGCATGCATACAATGAGTCTCCGCATGACACTAACCACCTCTTTGCATGCCCAACAAACCCCACTCATCTAACACCCCTCTCCTTATTGTCCGACCCTGTCGAAACAGCTCGTTTCCTGGGCCTTCCGTTAGATGACCTCGACGACAACGAATCTAGAATTTATCTGCCCAAACGGGGATTAGGTAATCGTTACAACAACAACAACATTCTACTAATGACTTATGTATTAAACTTACTTTATTTTTATGTTGTAAGAATCTCATAGACTAAACTAACGAAAACTCACGTAACCATATAAAGTTTGTTGGTATATCTGTGAAATATCGATTTATCGATAAATTGGAAATGGGTATTTCCATCGGATATGGTAACGCAGCACTTCTCAGCTGTTTTCCCAATTCACTTTGTTATTTGCGCTGTTCCTTCATTTCATTGATAGATAGAGATTTCAAAACGTTTATTGTAATATTGTTATTGTCTATTTCGTGTTGAGGCTTTTGGAAACGTATACAAAATTCATTATTTACAAAAGTGATGTAGAGTGTATAGTTGTGGTTGGGTGGAAAAGTGCAAACTCGTCAAATTCTTAAATTGTAATAGAATGGAGTATTGAGTTTTGCTAAGACAACAAATTAACATAAAATTCCATTTACCATACGGCATTAGTAGCTGCCGAAAATAGTTAAAATATTCGAAGAAAATTTTTGTGTGGGCGTATGCATCGTGTACATAAATGCAAGTTTAAATCGTAGGTAATAAAATGGTTTTATGGTGTGATTGTTTCAATGGTGGCTATCAGCAAATTGATACTGCACGACAAGGTAAGTGAAATACACATATGTTTCTTTGTTAGAGGTCCTATTAATTACAAGCTACTCATTCCGTTAATTAGGTCCACGTTTTGGTATACGTCATCTACAATGTTTTCTTGCCTTTTGTGGCTTGGCAGTTGCGTATGCATTGCGTGTAAATCTTTCTGTAGCCATTGTGGCGATGACAGATCAAAATGCCACAAATCCAGCATTTGAGGTAAGTACTAGCCTGTATATTGTAATTTTGTTAATGAAATTAGCATCATATGGTCATCTTATGTGGGTGTGCTAATTGGGTTATTCGTTACAAATTTGAAAATAAAACATCACTTTGATAGTATAATATTTTGTTTACCCTATTGCTCATCAAATGCATCGACACTAACAATTATCAGCAATATGTCAAGTATAAATGTATGTATGTACATAGGTATATGTAGTAGTCACAGCTTAACATAGTAACAGCGTTTCATAAAATAATTTGAAATTTTCTTTCTCATGATAAATAAATATATTATAATATTTTCTTTTATTTGTTCAAGTTTTAAATATAAATATTGTATATAAAGAAATTTTTGAATTTGTGACTTTATACTGATAAAAGCAAAAATGTAAACACAGTTGGCTTCTCATACGTAATATTTTGTTGTGCCCATGTGTACATATATCAATTCAATACAAAAAAAAACAAAGAAATACAGTTGAAGACAAGTATTTACATATATGTACGTATGTATGTAGCACTTATCTATAATTTTTATATTGTGGAAAATTTACATCTTTTAAATTATGTATGCTTATCGTTATGCTGCAATCTAACTTGTAAAACAAAACAATGCTTACCACTTCTCTCAACTCTTGCAGGAATACAAATGGGATGAGGGCATTAAGTCCTATCTGCTCAGCAGCTTTTTCTGGGGTTATGTCGTGACACAAGTGCCCGGCGGCTACATGGCACATCACTATGGTGCCAAGTATACATTCTTTTTTGGTGTGCTTATATGCTCTACGCTCGCGATTTTGACACCGTTGTGCGCCAAAGTGGGAGACTGGCCTTTGGTGCTGGCGCTGCGTGCCGCACAAGGTCTATCGCAGGGCATGATCTTTCCATCGACGCATACATTTCTGTCGAAATGGGCACCAGCTGAGGAGCGCGCACGCCTCGTTAGCTACTGTTATTCGGGCGCCCAATTTGGTACGGTTGTAATGCTGTCCGTTAGCGGTTATATAGCATCTTCATGGCTCGGTTGGCCTAGCATATTTTACCTCTCCGGTGTTGTCGGCATTTTATGGTCATTCGTTTGGTTATATTTAAGCGCCAGCACACCTGCCGAGCATCCATCGATTAGTGTAGCCGAGTTGCGTTATATTGAATCGTCGGGACAAACACGTCGACCTTCCGATGCTGGTCGTCAAAGTAGTGCTTCACAAACACAACCACACAAATTACCATGGGCTCAAATATTCACCTCACCCCCATTCCTAACGTTGATTTTTGTGCATTTAGCCAATAATTGGGGCTTCTGGACACTGCTCACCGAAATACCGACGTACATGAAGAATATTCTCGGTATGGATATACGCAGTAATGGTCCGCTCTCCGCATTACCATACCTTGCTATGTGTTTGTTGTCGTATGGTTTCATCTTTTTGGGCGATTTTCTGAATGCGCGCTTCACAACGCGTCTATGGGTGTCACGTAAATTCTTCAACACCATCGGTCAGTGGGTGCCGATGGTGGCATTGATTGGTTTGGGTTATATAAATGCCGGTGGTAGTGTTAAATTGGCAATAACATTGTTGACCATAGCAGTTGGTGCAAATGCGGCCACCTATCTGGGTTTTCAAGTCAATCACATTGATATTGCGCCAAATTTCGCCGGCACATTGATGGGCATTACAAATTGTGTAGCGAATGTGATAAGCATAATAGCACCGCTCACAGTGGGACTGATTGTGACGGATGAGGTCAGTTGCATTTTTTTGTGTTAAATTTCATTGTGCGTGTAATTGTTAATATGTTTACTTTGTTTTGCAGGAAAATCCCGCACAATGGCGTATTGTGTTCTATGTAAGCGCATTTTTCTACTTCGTCGGCAATCTGTTCTTCCTTGTCTTTGGTCGTACGAGTCCACAAAAATGGAATTTCCCACAAGGTCAGCCAGTTGCTGCTACAGGCCGAGGCGATAACATTACACATAACGCCGATGACATACACGACATAACCGATGATGAGAATGCGCCTTTGAATCGCAACGCTACACCATGAGACCAACGAAGCCAATAACATGACATTTAATTTTATTTCTCATTTTCGATTACGCAAACATGCGTTTGGCTAAGTATTTTAAATCTTTGTCATAAAAAATAATTATATTTTTTTTGCAAATGCTTCCTAGCATGGAAGTAACTGCTTTCATGGCCAAGAAAAGGCATGTCACGAAAGTTAAGAATAAAGAATTTAGAAAACTTAGGTGTATACAAATATATATATATACATAAATATACACACAAATAATATTATTTATATTTTTTTTAAAAACAACTAAAAACGTGTATTTGTAAAATTAATTTAAAGCTCGAAATGCAATTATAAGTAATTAAAGTATAAATTTATGTTTTATAAACAAACCGTTGTTGTGGTTGTTGTTGTAGCGACAGAATTCTGAATAAACAAACCGTTCGTTTACTGCGGCAACATTCGTAAATTACTGCTGATCATAGTAATTTTGCATGCAAATTAAAAACACCATGACATTGCCAGACTTCTGTTAAATTATTTTATATAAATAAGAATTTTTTTGCAGTAATCGAAATATGTATTTTAAATTAATTCGAAATACATTTATTATAATCTAAAGATATGTTTTGTGCTGTTGTACATAATTTAGCGTGCATAAGTTAGGTTATAAATTATTGCCTTCTGTATGTCAATGTAGTAAAGTGTCTTTAATAATCAAAAAATTTGTAAAAAAAAATAAATACGAAATATTTGAAAATTATAAAAGCACCTGATTCCGATCTTTCAGTTTATATGTCAACTGAACAATTTGTTCGAAGATGAACAATAACATTTGAACAATACTCCAAGTCAAATTTTGTGAAGATATCTTGAGAAATAAAATTGTTTTCCATATTTTTTTTTTCTTGATTTTGATGTTGTTGTTGTTGTTGTTATAACGATTATCTAATCCCCGTTTGGGTGATAAATTCTAGATTCGTTGTCGTCGAGGTCATCTAACGGAAGGCCCAGGAAACGAGCTGTTTCGACGGGGTCGGACCATAGGGAAAGGGGTGTTAGATGAGTGGGGTTTGTAGGGCATGCAAAGAGGTGGTTAGTGTCATGCGGAGACTCATTGCATGCAGGACATGTGTTTAGTATGTCGGGGTCTATTCTGGATAGGTAGGAGTTTAACCTGCTACAGTATCCAGAACGAAGTTGCGCGAGGGTCACTCTAGATTCGCGAGGCAACTCGAGCTCTGTGTCTGCAATGGGTGGTGGTTTGACTCGTATTACGCCATTCACTGAAAGGGAGTCGGTGAAGGTGTTAATGGCTCCACTGTGAATGGCGGTCAGTGCTTGTCTGAAGTTAGTTGCGTCCGAAGTCTGGTCGACGTGCTGTCTGATGTCGTCGACGTAGTCAAGGAAGGACCTCTTGATGTTCCTAGGAGGCTGCTCCGCTGCAAGCAGGCGTCTGCAGGGGTGGTTTCTGCGAAAACATCCCAGCAGAAACTGCTTGGAGAGGAGCTCATTATGTTCCTTAACCGGAAGCATACGGGCCTCACTGTGTAGGTGTTCGATTGGGGACATCAAGAGGCACCCCGTGATAGTCCGGAGTGCAGTGTTCTGACAAGTCTGGAGCTTCTTATTCTGCGTGTCACTACATCCAGGCGACCATATTGCGGCTGCATAATTGAGGACCGGCCGGCCGATTGCCTTGTATGTTGCCAACAACGTTTCTTTGTCCTTTCCCCATGAGCTGCCGGCAAGCGACTTGAGGATTTTGTTGCGGCTCTGTACTTTGGCAGTTATCGCGGTCGTGTGAGGAGTGAAAGAGCACAGACTGTCCAAAGTGACGCCTAAAATTTTAGGGTTATTTACTGTCGGAATTTTTGTGCCATCGACTGAAATGTTCAGGTCCAGTCTGTACTCCTTCGTCCAATTGGTGAAGATGGTCGCTGTGGATTTAGTGGGGGAGAGTGTTAAGTTCCTTGCAGAAAAGAAGCGAGAAAGATCGGAGAGGTAGCCGTTTACTCAAGAGTCAAGAGTCAAACGCGACTCTTGATTTTGATCGTTCAGTTTGTATGGCAGCTATAAGCCATAGTGTGCTGAAATCGGAGCTTCTGACAAACGAGCAGCTTCTTGGGGAGAAAAAAATTGTACAAAATTTCAGATCGATATTTAAAGACAGAGTTTTCGTTACTTAATATCACCAAATTCTCTGACATAGCATATATAAAGTTTGCATTTCTTGATAAAAATGTTTTAACATTGAGCATTTCTTTAATATTTGTATTCTTTAAGTAGTTCGCGTATATACAGACGGAAGAACAAACAGAGCTGGCTAAATCGACCCAGCTTATTACGTTGAACATTTATATATTGTAAAGGGTCTTCGACGTTTCTTTCTGGGTGTTAAAAACTTTGTGGCAAACTTAGTAAATATGCCCTGTTCAAGGTTTAAAGGTATAAAAAAATGTAAGATTTAGCGCAAGCGCAATTGAAAACCGAAAACACAAATATTTTATATAATTACTTACAGCATATTTATTTCACCGTTCGAAAATCGAAAACGATACAGAAATGAACTTTATCAGAAAATTATGCCTGTTTTTGTAGTTGAAGAGAGAGAGATAGAGAGAAAGAGAGCCATACCTCACACGGTCTCATCCAAAACCCTTCTCTCTGCTCTGCTCTATCGAAACAGCTCGTTACCAAAATCTTTTCGTGTTGTCGTTAAAACTCACATTTGCTAACTGTAAATAGAAATTTTGTGGTTCCAACAACAGAACCAACCATTTTTTTTCTGACCTTCTTCTAGTGCTTTTAGGGCATGCAGGGTTAACCCGGCGATTTCAGTTTCAGCTTGCTGGTTGTTGGCCTAATGTTTTCAGGAAGTCATGCAGCAATATAATGTTTCGCGTCCCTTTTGATAGATTTTAAGAGTTAGTGATCTGTTTAGACGACGCTAATTTTCTCATTCTTAACTGAGATTTAATTTTCTGTTAAATTGAGACCACAGAAGCTTTAATGATTCTTTTCCTCGATGTAGAGCTCAGACGGCATCTTCTCTGATGTAAGTCGGGTCGAGTTTTTTGCCAGATAATTTATATGTACAAAAAATGTAAGAAACCTAGCTAATGAGCTAGAACAAAAAACCTCGTTATAATTTCGATGACGCTTCTTGTAAACGAAAAATAATCAAACCGATGATTTTGTGAAAACAAAGGCCACATAACCTAGATTTTCTGAGATAGTGAGTTTTACAACTAGCTGCGTGAAGAAAAGTCTCAAACACTTGTCTGACTAAAACTTATTAGAATTACTTAAATTATTTAAATACTTTTAGATCTTAGTTTTATCATTGTTAAGTTTATTGGTGTTTTATTAAATATATTACAGACTTAAGGCTACTTAATTCGCAATCAAATAAGACTTACTAAGAATATTACAATACAATATATTTTTTTAATCGTTCCTGTGGCTACAAAAGTTAATAAGAAATACAATTAGTAATTCGTTTCGTTTAATTACATTAATTATATAAAGTATTTGATTACTGTTGCATAAAAAAAAATATATTTTTTTTTAATAATTAAGCTTATATTATTATAATAGAAGGTTAAATGTAACAAAAACTCACTGAACGCGTCGCAGGTTTTCGAACTTTTAATCTCCTTTATAAATTAAACTAGTTTTTCGTAAATTTATATTAAAAGCTAAGTAATTACAATAAAGTCATAGAGACAGCGCGCACTAGAAAAGAGGAAAATTCCAAAAAAAAAACTACAAACTATCATACAATCGTAGCTATACTCATGTGATAAGCCATTATATAGTCATATTAATATACAATTATTAAGCCGGTTATGTTTATGTTCTAAGTACAGATTGTGTAGTTATGGAAATTTTGATTTTTCTGTATTGCTTTTTTCTTCATATTATCACAATCTTCTCTCTGAATACAAATTCGCGTAAGCTTCTTTCATGAATACATACTAACACTAGCTGATACGAAGAAGAGAGATTAAATTGAACTCTCTTACTTCGGTGCGGCGCATTTCCGCGTAAGCTGTTCGCCGTCGTTTGCGCTGAGCGCTTCTCGACTTAATTCAATTTATGATTCGCCGGCAAATCTTCGGAACGTATACAACGTCCACGATAGCATATCTCCGTTTCGGATGTCACTTTCATTGAAGTGGACGTTGCATAGACGACTTTATCCATCAAGTTCATTTTAGCTTGGTCATCCGCCGGAGTTTTCACAGCCGTCGCTGATAAGGTGGGCTCTGTAGCCTCTTCCGTTACGGCATTCATCGCCTGTGTGGTCGTATCGGCTTTGGTGCGTTTAATATTCATGTATTCTTGTCTGCGCTTGCCGACTGCTGCCAACGCTGCGGTCACCGCATGATCTTCCGATTCATCGATGGCGAATAAGTCATGTAGTTGTCTCTTGACTTCGGAGAATATGCTCGGTTGCGATTCCAGATCATCAACTACTTCATCCATGCGTCGTGTAGCGCTCTCTGCGGTTGCGCTTTCGTCTTCATTTCCTGTTGGTGTGATTGTGCTTCTTTCCAAATCATCATCCATAGCGAGCGTTGTTGCAAACGAGGTGACTTCTAAGGGCTCCGATGTTGTCGGCTCGTTCGTGTTCATTGTACTTAATGGATCGTTTGTTGTTGTTGTAAATGTTGTGGGCACCGGTGTTAGTGGTGTGGTCGTCTTAAGTTCCTTCACTATTTCGTCTGTAGACTTTTCCTTGCCATAGAGTGAATTGTACAGTTGCGAACCAAGACCTTGCGACTCGGCCGTCTCAAAGCTTTCACTGTTTTGTGTTGTGGGCAATCTGAGTTTCTTGAATTTGTTGCGTCTGTTAACGCGGTTGAATATCGTGGTTTTCTGTGACTCAAAGAAGGTTCCATCTGTGGTACGCTGCGTAGTCTCCTCTACCGATTCGAGTGGTTTCTCTTCAGGTGCCTTGCCCATAACTTCTTCCAGAAGTTCAGCAAACGATTTTTCGGGCCTGAAAAAAATTTGTTTACAATTAAGTCTTATAACATTCGATATTAGCGATATGCGGGTATAGCATTGTTTCTAACTTATAATTTCGGTATTTCCTAATCCAATACCAACCTTCAATTAAATTTAGATGTATCTTACTTACTTTAGATTAGGCCCCATAAGTGATGGCTTTGTCTCACCGAAGCTTGCGGATACGTTGACTTCAAAGTTATCTGCCTTTTTGTTATCATCAGGTCCTATGGTTACGATTTCCGGCTCTTCCTCGAACTTATGTTCATTTTCTTTATTCTGTTCTTTCGGGTTGGTAGGTTTGAAGTGGTGATTGCTGCCGAATTTCAATGCTGGAGACCATTGTGATTCCTGACCATCCAACTGGAAGTTCGGTCTTTGCCTGCGTCTTTGTGGTGGTGAGGCCTTTTTGCCAAAAAAATTAACTCGTGAAATTTTTGAGTTGAAAAATATGCGTAAAGACTCACCTCATTCTCATACAGATCATGATTAAAACGGTTTATTTTGCGGAAATTATTCTTGGGCTCTTCGACTTCAGCTTCGTCCTCTGGAATCGACGTGGTTGATGATAGAATTTGTGGACGACGCGTGCGTGCGCGCACTCTAATCACCTTACGTGGTGGTATGCGTGGGCGTAGCTATTAAAGAATGTGTTAAAAAATATATTCTATAAATTTTGATAGAGAATCTCTTTTGCCACTTACCGAAGTTTTCGTTTCGGTCTCCGGTGTTGTTGTGGTTGGCGGTTCGGTAGTTGTAGTGCGCAAACGTGGATAATTTCGGCGTATAAACGGTGAACGTCTTGTGGTAACTAGCGGTTCTTCAGTTGTTGTTGTTGGTGCTGCGGTAGTGGTGCTTGTTGTACTCGGCAAAGTGGTAAAGACTGGATTAATCTC